TGGCAACGAGCGACTCCTTGGAGTAGTTGACACGGCGGTGGTCAACGGCGATACCGACAGTGCGAGCGAGCTTCTTGGGGATACCAGCTTCCTATTGGTTTGAAAGAGTTTTGTGAGCCTTCGTCCAAATCCTGTATCCAAATACAGCCCATGCGGATATGAGTTAGGGCAGTAAACCAGGCACCGCCAACTCCCCGCTCTGTAGGACGAAAAGTGAGGATGAATTTACCTTCAGCTCAGCAAGGGTGAAACCACGGCCGACACGGACACGGCGGTTGTACTTGACGGTAGGGCAGCGCACAACGGGACGCAGCTTGTCAACCGGACGAGGAGCAACAGCGGCAGCCTTAGCGAGACGGGCCTCACGACGGCGGTGCTTGCGGCCAGGCTATAATACCCAATGTCAGTCCATGAACACTCAAAAGAAATTCTCGGTCGCCCCGTTCGGAGTTGGGCATTTTTGCAAGTGTCCAGTCGTCCGCTCGAAGGTGCAATTCGGAAGGATATGGGTTTTCGAATTCGTACCTGGTCGAAGTGCACGCGCACACGACGCTGCCAGTCCTTGTGGAAGTCTAATATCAAAATCTCCGTCAGATCATCAATTCCCAAAAAAAAGCGATACAATCTGGATTTCCCATGTCTCGTAAAAAAAAAAATCCGGTTCATGAGGGCTCACTCACGGTGCTTCTGGAGTTGGTTGTTGTGCTTGATCGCCTATATCACCATCAAAAAAATCGAATCAGCATGCCAGCCCTTTCTCATTGTGACCATCGAAATAGATCTCTCAACGATCTATTCGTATATTCGAAACAGCGAGGATAATATAACGCACCATTGTGACGGATGGAGATCAGAGCCGGGAGATTGTCGTCGTCGTCGTGGGTTGTTGCTGGTCGTGTCTCAAGACTCCAAAGAGTCGTTCAATATTGGGTGGAACTTTTTTTGGTGTGGCCAACCGCGCAGAGCCGCACCGCCTCGCTTAGCGAGCCCTACCCTGCCTGCCGGATGTGGTAAGGTGTCATGATGCGTAATTTTCGATACCGAAGATTTTACAGAATCCCAGGCCAGTCTGATTACTCCCAGGTCTTCAAGATCAATTCGAATCAGTCTTTTATTAGGTGTTAAATTCCTTTATTGGCCCATCATGACATACAAGCTGTGTGGTCCTGGCGTTGAATGCTTTGTGATGCTTGACGTTCTTATCTGTATTTGAAAGTATTGCAGTCTGTTACATTATTACTAATCCAGGCAGGTCGGAAAGTTATTCTTACATTTACAAGACTCCCAATATCACTAACATAAGTAGCAGTTGTTCAAGGTCGTCCCTGCAATGCAGGCATTTTTCTAATATTTGGAAGACTTCACCGCTGTCCGAAAAGCAATCTGGAAAGGCAGCGGTGGCCGTACTGTAAACCTGATAATATCGAAAAAAAACAAAAGCTTCAGAAGCAGATAGAGACGCCCAAGAGAACACCAATTCCACATGTCAGTCTTGTGAAGGTCATCAATCGTTAATGCCCCATTGGAGGGAGCAATGCGTAAATCAAAATCAAAGGTGCAGCTGAAGGCAAACAAAACGACACAATCCTGAATATCGCGGTGAATCGAAAGCGGTGGCATAGCGAGTTCAGTCGCGTGGATTACCGCGAGACCCATCGAGGCAAGGAGCCTAGTAAAGATTATGCACGGGTATACACAATCAATTAAGTAGTCTACGCTTCAATACCAAGACCCACCCCCTCAGTCGCCTTCGATTTCTTCGCAGCCGCACTATCGTCAATGCTGGCTTTGCGTTTTAGTCCACTCGGAGGACGGTCGACGCCAGCTTTCCTCACCTGGCCGAACAATTTTGTCTGCAATAATGCGCTCGTCTTCGGGGCAATTGCCGCACTTCGAGTCTCCTGCTGGCTGATAACAGGGTCAGGACGAAGCATGCTGGTTGCAGGAGAATCAGCTTGGGAGGCTGGAATGTCTTCTTCTGTCTCGGCTTCTTCAATATCCGAGGCAGATATCGTGCTGTCACGGTCACGCTGCTCATCCTGAGTATTCCTAGTTGGAGTGAAGAACAGATGTTCTCGGGGGGTCGTCCGAGACTGCGACGGTGTCATGGGGAGCGAAGACAGTGAGTGTGTGCCCCGCACGTGTCCATTAGAGTGCTGCCTTTGACGCAACCTTTGTGGAGATGATTGGAAATCAGTAGATCCTCTGTTGAGAACTCTGTCTGCAGCAAGAAGGGCAGCAAACGGATGGCTTTCACCGCGGCTCATGTGCGGACTGGGGCTGTCATGGAAGTGGGGAACTGGTTTTCTTTGAGGCGTGCGGGATTGAGTCTGAGGGCTCGGGGACACGGAACCACGTTCGATCATCCAAGAGAAATGCTCGCGGTTTTCTCTAATGCGCTTCTTCAGCAGATCATTCTCCTCCATGAGCAGCTCGGACTTTTCTTTCTCCTGCTCGATGAGTTTCTTCGCGCGACGCAGTCTGCGATCGAGAGTGGCATTGACTCTCTCCAATTCTTGATTACGCTTGAGGGCGGCCTCCAGTTCCGCGTTTGAGATAGGTTGCAGTGGTTTCACCTCGGTCGGACCATGTTTATTTCGGTACTCGGAACTCTGAAGAATCTCCACCTCCCGCCTCGCTAGCTGATGTTCAACTTCGGCGCGCTTGATTGCTTCATTACTTGTGAAAGACAGAAGGCTATTCTGAAGTTTGAAATGCAGCGCCGACATGCGGGCTTCTTGCGCAACACTGAGGAGCTCTTTGGCGATTATACGCAGCTCGGGTTCACCGGCAGCGTCGATATCACCGACCGATGGAAGATTCTCAGATGCACCGTAGGCAGCGCACAGAGTCTTTTCAATATCCGGAGGAGATGCTAGGTATGTGGTCGATCGAGATCTTGACCGCCGCAAGGGAGCACCGGGCACTTGTGATGATGGGGGTGGTGTCATATCTGAGGAGGCCAATGAAGGGGGGGAGACGAGCTTGCGCTGATCGGTTTGGGACACCTGGCTTTGGACTTTTTCATCCAGCTCAGGCGAAGCAGAAAGACTTGGACGTCGATCCGGAGTGGCTGGCCCTGGAAGCTCCAAAGGAGGAGCAAGTGAGCTCTGCGATAACTGGGATTCTTGAGACATGATATAGTAATAGTTGTGGCGCTCTGAGTGAGATATGCTATATTCCGTGGGGTAGACCCTCGCACTGTAGGTGTGTTAGCATCACCCAACCACGTGGGGCTAGATCACTAGTTGTCAACAGACGAGCACATACCGGACTTTGATTTGGCACGTCAACACCCGACTGGTACGCCGGGTCGGTTGCGATAGATATTGTACTTGTGATTGAAAGGCAGTGTAAGGATGTCTAGGTAGAGGCGACAGCTGTCGAAGTGCTGACACAGACACAATTGCGAGCCCAGTCTAGTCCCCGGCGATGAGCAGTTGGTCTTATCACTGATAGCGCCGGTAGAAGCACGTTCTAATCAAGTATGGACGATAACACCCGTGGAGGAAGTCGCATATGGAGTAATTGATAGATAATTTTCAGAATGATATAGGAGCAAGGGGTTTCAAGGACTAGGAAAGAGGGTATGCAATATTGTATGTGTTGTTAGACGCAAGGATTGCGGCGTGCGGGCGATTTGATGCCTTAAAGGACGGGATGTCGCAAGCGGGAGTTTCGCACATCGGGGGGGGCTGGGAGAGTCGCTTGCGATGCTTTCGGCCTGGTCCAATTACGACCACCCGCCTCCACCCACGTGAGTCCAGCCGCGCGCCAAAACCCCTCCTATTCCGAATGAGGCTAGAATGGAGATCACTCAAGTTCGGAAAAGGTAAACAAGAGCTGAACCTCCCTGGGCCATAGCTCGTAACTCAGGCAACGCGATACCTGACGTAGTTCTGGAAACTAGCTCTAAGATGGGACTTGATACTATGAGTCCTAAGTCTAATGAATGATGCGGACGTCATCGGAAGAATCGAAGTACAATGGCAGGATTTGTCGAATGCCTTCCCCGTTACGGAGTACTCCATGCATGTATGCTCCCTTACGACTACCGATTAAGCATCAAGACAACTGCCAGACTTAAACACACTAAACAGACTAGAAATAGCTCAGTGAGACAAAATGGGCTTTAATGTGCCATCTTCACAAGATATAAAGCACTAATATGGAGAGTGTTGTCTATTCGAATAGCGGCATAGCTCACTAGGTATCTTCCTTTATCTCCGCGACGGTCAGATGTCCATACCCTAGAGCCCAAACTTGAATTGCTGGCGATAAATGGAGTAGCCGTCCCATTAACAGATATTCTTTGTTCCATCCAGTCGACTGCGTCATATTAACAAATACGACAGAAATGCATATTGTGGTGCTCTGGGTGCTCTCCACGGAATAAAGAAACTATATATTTCTCCATGACTGCCTACCAACAAAGCAAGGTAACAAGGGTGAAGCTCGTTGAATCATACTTAACTGAAATAAATGAAACATTAGATGCAAATACTGTACGGACAGCAGAGTACAGAGGCACGTAAAGACTCAATAGTCAAGTTCTGTGCTTGATGGTACCTGATGCTAAACCCTGGGTGAATCTCTTATGGATCTGGATCTGTCTCGGGATGCCGAAGTGGGGACCCCCAGGCGATTACTTGATTTGGCCGTGAATGGAGAAAGTGGCCTCAGGCACTATTTTCAGGCACCAAGTACTTAGTACAACAAAGTAAAATAAATAAACATCGATGTTGCCAACGAAGAGATATGGACAAGACTGACTGTTTAGACAGCGTACAAAACTGACCAGAGTCTATTTAGCTTTCACGATTTTATTAATCTGAATTTACGCTGACTCTTGTCTTCCTATCCTGGACGATACAGAATTTCTCAGGTCGAGCATGCGACCACCTTACTGATATCATTAGTGACACTAACACATATCAACAATCGCATGCCCCTCAAACTTGTGTCTGCATTGACCACAACAGCAACCGAGTGGTCGCAAAATGGACCAGCAACGGAAAACACCAACTAGACCGGGTGGGATCCCTCGGCTGGCTGCCTCCAGACTGCCTTTGCCAACGTCCAGCGCTTCCAGATCCATCAAACCTTCCCCTTCCCGTGAAAAGTTGCGCGCAGATTCCGGTCTTGATGCCACAAGGCTCCGAAGACCTTCTGAGCAACCCGTTCTCAAGAAGCCTCCTCCAAAGTACCCGTTGTCGTACAGGACCCCCGAGAAACCTCGACAGAAAAGAGACATTTCCAACAGTGGACTCAGCGATGGTGGACGGTCGGAAGACGCGGGAGACTCCTTGGAAGAAGCCCCCATGCTGGGAACAGATGCCGCTGTGGGAGATGCAGAGCGCCGAGGTCGCCCTCGACCTTCATTATCGGAACGGACTATCGAGACATTATCCCGGATCCCTCCATCACCTGGCCCCTCGGGCAGGCAATCTAGTTTCTTCAATGGCAACAGCCCGGTACGATCCCCGTCTCGGGCACCATCTGTGATGACCTCAAGATCACCTTCGAGGGCATCAACTACGCGGCGACCTAGCGATAATGATTTTCTTTCACAACAAGCTTCTGCAATACAACTTCCCTCAAGATCTAGGATATCACCCGCTCCAAGCTTGTCTTCAAACGACGCTTCTACCGGCCAGAGAACATCGTTGGCTGGTACCGACATCCCCTCGAACTTGAAGAAGCCATCTATAAGAGCAAGTTTATATAACAGGGTTATGGATACGACAAGCAAATCGCCAAATCCTCGCCCAGCTCTGGGCAAGACGTCCGCAAACGCTACGTTTTCAGACATGGGACCTCCGCCTCCTCCACTCCATGTGAAAAAGACAAGGAAATCTGTGGCGAACAATTCCAGCCCTATAAATAATTCGAGAAAGCCATCAGCCCAGCTGAATGCGCCGGACCTCTCAATACAGCAACAGTCAGAAATGGAAATGAGAAAGGCTTCCAAGTCATCCAGCGCATTAAGGGAGAGCATTGCTAAGGCGAAAGCCGCGCGCAAAGCATCGGCAAGGGAGAACAACCCCCAAAACGGCTCCGTTGATGTCTTTGATAACCTAAATGTTGAAGATCCATTCAATCAAAAGCCCAAAGGCTCAAACAATGGGTTGCTCCTTAAGCGTGTGGAAGCAGGGCGGATCTCGGGTCATTTGAACATTGCGGCCATGGCATTGACAGAGATACCGAAAGAGGTCATGACTATGTATGACTTCGATCCTAACTCGACGACCGATTGGTATGAGAGCGTCGACCTTATCAAGTTCATCGCTGCAGACAATGAATTTGTTGAGCTGTCAGAGGCAGCCTTCCCCGACGTCGATCCGTTCGATATCGATTCAGAAAAAGACGAACGAGGCAATCAGTTTGCTGGACTGGAAATTATGGATCTTCATGGCAACCAGCTGCGCACCCTTCCAATGGGGTTCAGAAGATTGCAAAGACTACACACTCTGAACCTATCCAATAACAAATTGGACGCGAAAAGCATTCATATCGTCATGCAAATGGAGGCTTTAAAAGATTTGAAGCTAGCAAACAATCTCTTGGAGGGTTCGTTCTCCTCAGACGTGAAGAACCTTACCAGATTGGAGGTTCTGGACTTGCGCGGCAATTCTCTAACTGAACTGCCCAAGAGCCTGGAACATTTGGCTTGCCTTAGGATTCTAGATGTTGGTGATAATCAACTGACCTCTCTCCCTTTCGAGTCTCTTGGCATGCTTCCTCTTAAAGATCTCAGAGCCCCTAGGAACAAGTTAGCTGGGACGCTGATCCCAGCTTCTCTATCGAAGCTTGACTCGTTACAGAGCTTGGATGTAGCCGGCAACGCGCTGACAGCGATATCAGAACGAGAAGACCTCGAGATGCCTAGCCTTCAAACCTTGTCCATCAGTATGAATCGCATTAAGCATTTGCCCAACATTTGCACCTGGAGAGCACTTTTGACTCTCTCGGCTGAAGACAATAGTCTTTCAGCAATCCCGCAGGGGTTTGTCGAGCTGCAAAACCTTCGCAATGTTGACTTCACGGGAAACAATATATCCAAATTGGATGAAAGGATCGGACTGTTGGAGAATCTTTCCACCCTTCGCATAGCCAACAACCCACTGCGAGAACGAAAGTTCTTGACTATGAATACAGATGATATCAAGCGTGATCTGCGAAACAGGTGTGAGCCAGAGCCTCAGGACACCGATGATGACGAAGGCTCGGTCGCCACGCAATTCACCCTTGCACCAGAAACACCGGCTCAGATGACGCAGTGGCAGGTCAAGCCGGGGGGAGTCCTTGATAGATCGTATTCAGAAATGTCAGAGGTGGACGTGAAGCAGTTGGAGCGAATCAACTTCAATGATATACGCTGCCTGTACCTGCAACATAACTCATTGACCTGCATACCTGTGCCAGCTCTCAGCATGCTAGCACACTGCCTGACAGATCTTGACCTCTCGAATAACGCCCTGGACAGTTCATCCGTTCTCCCTACATCTCTAACACTGCCGAATCTCCAAATCCTCAATTTAGGCGCCGCTAGATTGACAACCCTCGAGCCGATATTAGCCAATCTTTCGGCTCCGTCTTTGACGACCTTGGATGTTTCGTACAACCGCCTTTCGGGGCCTCTCCCTGCTGTGCGCCAGGTCTATCCGAAGTTGATGACTTTTCTCGCAGCGGACAATGGGTTTCAATCTTTGGAGTTCGAGGCTGTGCAGGGTCTCCAGGTGCTGGACGTTGGTAACAACGACATTAGCTCTCTTCCGCCAAAACTTGGCTTGCTGAGGGCCGAGGGTTGCAGCAAGAATTGGGGCTCCGGCTCGCCCCTGAGAAGGTTCGAAGTAGCAGGTAACAGCTTTCGGGTTCCCCGATGGCAAGTCGTTGCGAAAGGGACTGATGCAATCCTTGACTGGCTGAAGGATCGTATTCGAAGCGAAGACCTTGCGGAATGGGAGCCCGATGAGGAGTCTATTGTGCAGGAATAAGTGCAGAGGTGAGAAAATCAAGTCTCCGGAATTGGAAATCATCTAGCGAATCTCGGCACTGGATCTTGATCATTTGACGCACTGCTTGATTGTACAGTGTATAGCTTCTTTACCAATCTTGGTGATTTTTTTCCTCTCATGTATATACACCATTTAGCGCACTTACTCGACTGTAATAAATTCGGAGAATTCTCAACAGGCTAAAAGATGTTCGAGTTGCGAAAGGTCTTCTCGAATTGTGGCAGTTCTCCAACCGTAAATATAATCCATGAATGGTCTCTTCTCCTTCCACGTATTCATTCATTCTTCATTGTCCGCCTCCACAGATTTGCTGACTTCATCCAAAACATTCATCCATGTTTTCGACCATATTGTGAACTTATCTTCCTTCTGCTGACCGCTGGCAGCGTCCACCGTATCCCAAGTCGGTTTAACAGAGTCGACAGCGTTCATGGCACAGTGCCTAACCTTGCCGAGATATTGAGTGCATTTATCCAAATCCTCCTCGTACAGGGCTCCCGCGACTTCATCTACATGCTCCGGGATGAGCTGTAAGTTCGTCATCAAGCATTCTAACCTGCCAATCCCAGAAGGAGATGAGCACGGCACATCGCCAGCGCCAGTCAGCCGATTCGCGACAATGGCAGGGTATATCTGAGCAATAGGCTTCAAAATCCGGAGGGCCGATTTCTTCTGCGCGTGTAGCGCAGCGCTGCTTTCCTCGGTATCCTCCTCTTCTTCATCTTGAGTATCCTTCTCGCCATCATCGCTCAAGAGATCATCGAAGAATTCGTCCCCGTCCTCTTCGGGATCCCACTCCTCAATCTCCTCCACTGCATCACGCACCAGATCCCGCCACTCTTCGACGCGCCGTATCACGAATCCAACCACACCTTTAGCTGCGACATCGATCAGTGCGTCGCACGAATCCCAGACACGCCCTGTTGCGACTGTCACAGGATCCTTCTCCGTCTGCGAAAGTTCACCTCCTTTCTTCTGACCTTCCCTTGCCTTGTCCGCCTTTTCGGCAACAGCTTGAACCTCGGTTACCAAAGAAGTCAATTCCCTCAATGTAGTCTTCGTCAAAGCGTGTACCTCCGCGTGGAAGGCCTTTGTATGATCGGCAGGAGTGACAAGGAGAGCCGCCGTCACGAGAGACGGAAGCACGGAACTATTCAATGCCGAGAGAACAGTGCCGACCGCCGAGTGAGTGAATGGAGAAGTTATCGTCAAGAGTGATAGCTTTGTGACCTGGGATTTCAACGCGGTAGCTGACGTGGAAAGGAGGGGAAGGGTATCCTTTCCGGAAAGTTCAGCGGGCTTGATATCTCCGGCAGGAGCTGAAAGAGCTGCTTGGAGTTGCTCCAGGAGAGTGAGAGTCGTCGTCAGACTGACCCGAAGCTGTTTTGCCATTCTGAGGGGTTTTGATGATCTGAATACCGATCTCGGCTTTGTTATTGCAGGTGATCACTAAATGGAGGAGAAATTTGTTAGAGATTGCGGGGCAAGTACTGATTAGGGCTCTGCGGTGGTCACCAGCGGTTAAAGCTGTCCAGTTGGCGCTGGCCTTGGCGGGTGTCCTGATCCATTGAAGCGTCCTAACATTTTCTCCAGTTGTGACGTCTGGATCGGACAAACTCCTTCGGCCTGAGCTCCGATATTTGTTATCAATCACGTACGCGACTCTCTTTCTATTACAGCACCAGTCCGTCGTGAAGAACTTTTCAGATGATGTCGAACAACAGACCTCAATAAATTAAAAAAATTTTCCGTGTGTTTCATTGACAGGATGGGCGCTACTAAACCTCGCACCTCCGCACGAGACTCCGCTCCGAAAGTCCAGTCGTTACCGGAGAAGACATTCGTTATCGACAATGGCGCATACACTATGAAAGCTGGGTATGCGCCCGAGTTTCCACCTCCCGAAGATTTAGACCAGGCTCTTTCAGCCTGCAGCACAATCCCGAATGCCATTGCCAAAACACGCGGAAACCGTATCTACATTGGTGCACAGCTCAACTCGCAAGTTACCGACTGGAACGAGATGGTGTTCAGGCGTCCAGTGGAGAAAGGGTACATTGTCAACTGGGAAGCACAGAAGGAAATATGGGAAAACGCGTTCTTCGATGAGAAGACGGCGCGGCCGAAGGATCTTCGGATTGAATCTCCAGAAGATACAACGCTCGTGCTTACTGAGGCACCGAACGCTTTGCCAACCCTACAAAGGAATGCTGATGAGATTGTGATGGAAGAATGGGGTTTTGGCGGCTATGTCAGATGTGTAGGTGAGCGAGCCGGATTTTGTTCCCCTGCTGTCTTACATCTGGTTATTGATGCTGATTTCCCAGGACCGATGCTGAATGCTTGGAATGAAGTTCAATCCTTGTTCGGAGACCCTATCGGACAAGACTCCTCGTCTCCGATCTCACCTAAGGAATGCTTACTTATCGTCGACTCCGGCTACTCTCATACAACAGTAACTCCAGTTTACAAAGGGCAACCCATCCAGCGCGCCATTCGGAGACTCGATATTGGTGGTAAACATCTAACAAATTACCTGAAAGAGATGGTGTCCATGAGGCAGTACAACATGGTAGATGAAACTTACATCATGAACGAGGTTAAGGAGGCTGTCTGTTTCGTAAGCACTGACTTTGCTGGTGACATGGAAAGGACATGGCAGGGCAACCGGAAGCGTGGCTTGACAGACGCAGCCGAAGGGATCACAGTTGATTATGTGCTACCTGACCCTAACACAGGCAAGAAGGGCTTCATGCGACCGCATGATCCTCTTTCGAATGCCAAGAAGAGGAAAAGTATCCTTTCTGGTGGCAATGCTGAGTCTCTGTCCGAGGACGTGCTGATTCTGGGAAACGAACGCTTTACCGTGCCAGAAATACTCTTCACGCCAAGTGACATCGGTATGAAGCAAGCTGGTGTTCCAGACATCATTCTTCAGAGTCTTTCAGTTCTGCCTACCGGACTACATCCGTCGTTCTTAGCAAATGTTCTGGTCGTCGGAGGGAATACCTTGATTCCAGGGTTTTTGGAACGATTGTAAGGCTTCTTGTTACGATGATCATCACATTCGGTTCTAACACCTTCTCAGGGAAAGCGAGTTGCGACAGATAGCTTCGGCAGAATGCGTTGTCAGAGTTCGGCGCCCTCATGAGTAAGTTCACCTTGACAGTTTCCCTTGGATCACGTTCTCATCAGCTTGACCTTAGCCCCATACGTTCCACATGGCTTGGAGCGTCACGATTAGCGACGAACAGAGTCGAGTTGAAGAAACTCGCCATCACCCGTCAGGAATATCAGGAGTATGGCTCTTCATGGGCGGGACGGAAATTTTCTGGCATTCTCTGAGCATAGCTTTGCTACTTGCGGGCATCCTCTCAATCGGTACCGGAGTATGGGGGTTTCTATTGTGTATTTTGCCTGACCGTTGTTGGGGTGTTCTTCAAATGCTGCATTTCAATGATACCCTTGATCTCGACAATAAACTGAATGATTCTGAGACTTTGAAGACTGAACGGAAATGTGCACATGTCGTAGTTAGAGATTTTGCCGGTGAGCAGTCCGTACTGTTTTTGCTTTTATTCCGTTCGCGGCTCCATGGATGGCGCTGATTGTTCGCAGAATCAGCAGGCTGGCTCCCATCATGCGTCAAGATGATCTACGGAGTTCCCAGCAGTTCTTTAATGTACAAGTCATCAGCAAGCGATGATATTAGTATTATTGTTGTACCCCGCACTGGCTGCTCCATCAAGGTTTACACGTAAGTGATTCTCACATCCGACATTAGAGAGGTTGATATCCGTGGTTCACTTCATACTCTTTCTCTCCATATTGCAGTCATTTTTGTACCGCCAGAACACCCTCCCGCACGCCGGAACAAGTAGTCATTGGGCGGAAAGCCTCCATGTCAAATGATGATTCCTCAGAAAAACGGGCCGCGCGCATGAAGCTGAGAGACACTCGAACCATGGCACTTCTCAGGCACCTGCGATGACCCTCGGTTGAAGGTTCCGTGGGAAGGGGTGTTATTCTGGTCCCTTTTCAGCTCCGACTGACGAGAGGATGAAGGGCACATATCTATCAGAACCATACTACAGACTTCATCGTCATACTATCATGCTATAAGACCTGTGACTCGACAACCACTCTCTTGGCAATTGCCATGCCTTGTTTACGATCACCGAAGCAGTTCGAGGGCGCATATCGAGATCACCAGATTTGATTGTCTTCAAAATTACCGGGGATATGGTCTTGAATCAACCGAGCTAATCATGCCTTCTATCGCTCTATCATCTTTTGTTTCTGGCCTCATTCAGAGCCGAGCTGAAGAGGAGCGACTGCTTGCTAGGGATGCTAAAAAGATAGCTCCATTAAGAGCTGCTTCGGACAAGAAACCAATATCCACAGGTGTTCATCGTGCAACAAGCAGGCGCAATATGGATGTTTGTCCAGCGCCCGGAAAGTCTGATTCGCACTTGCAAGACCATATCGCAGGGTTAAAGAGCCTTTGTGTCTTCCCAAGTCTTGGTGTCATTGAGAACATGGCGCGCCTTTGCCGAGGATTGCGAAAGAAGGAGTAAGTTCATTTGCTCCGCTTGCGTAGCTCTATCGTGTACTAACTTGCAAACAGACGTTGCACGGTCTGCTTTAACAGCAAATCTGTTAAGAATTTGGAGATTCTCCCTTGCCAGCACAAATACTGTGATTATTGTTTCAGCCGATTGGCACTCACAGCCCTGGCAAACGAGCAGTTGTTTCCGCCGAAGTGCTGCTCGCAGGTGATTCCGTCCGAGCAAGTCCTCTCGAAACTGACAGAGAAGGAGAAAGCCCTTTTTAAGCTTAAAAGGCGGGAGTATGCGACACCGGCCAGAGAACGCCGGTATTGTCCCGCGATGAGATGCGGGAAATGGATACCGCCTGAGAAGTTGAAAATTCAATCAGGAACACAGCTCTGCCCGTATTGTGACACTGCCATCTGCCCGGGCTGTCAGGACAAGGCTCATGCACCTGGCAAATGTTCCTTCGACCCTGGGCTGACTGAATTTCTCGAACTCGCCAGAACCCAAGGCTGGCAGAGATGTTTTCGCTGTGGGGCAATGGTTGAGCTTAATGAGGGCTGCCAGCGTATAACTTGTAGATGTGGCGCAGATCTTTGGTTAGTCCTCTCCCTCACTTCATCTTGGCCATCCCAAATACTGACGGAGCCAAGCTACAAATGTGGTGGACCATGGATTATCTGCCATCACAACGCGTTGGGGAACGTAACCGCAGAATGCCAAACCGGCGCGCCTTTCAGAGACGGATTGGGAACGCATGATGTAGGTGAGCTTGCTGCTATTGTGGCTGCCATGAAATTCGCCGAGAGAGAGCTGGAAGAATAGGTGTTGGATGACTCCGTCCACAAAGATCCATCGACGAAACTGGCTAATATATTGATTTTGAAGCGATATGCTTTGTTGTACTATGAACCATCTTTTTGCGGGATCCTCATGCTGACGATGGCTGTCGACCACCATTACAATGAAGCAAATGCAAATAACTGTTCCAACTTTTGACATTTCATTGCTGGATATTCCGTCCTTCGGTAGATATGGTATATATAGCCAGGTGGTAGCATACAGTAAGGGATATCACGTTATATGTTACTTCAAACATCGCAGCAAGTCACCAGGTTAGTAGTCGTAAAAGCCCTTTCCGCTCTTCTTACCCAGCCAACCAGCGTCAACCATCCTCTTGAGCAGCCCAGACGGTCTATACTTGCTGTCTCCGGTTTCCTGATGCAAGACATTCATAATAGCCAGGCAGGTGTCAAGGCCAATAAAATCAGCCAGGGTCAAAGGTCCCATTGGAACATTTGTCCCATTCTTCATGATGCTGTCAATGTCCTCGCGGGCGCCAACTCCAGTCTCCAGACAGATGATAGCTTCGTTGATGTACGGCATGAGGATACGGTTAGCGAGGAAACCAGGCGAATCAGCCGAAACGGCTGCAACCTTGCCCATGCGCTGCACAAAGGCAATTGCGGTGTCAATGGTCTCCTTGGACGTCTGCAGACCAGCAATGATCTCAACACCCTTTTGAACAGGTACGGGGTTCATGAAATGAGTGGAGATCACACGGGAAGGAGCCTGGAGATCTGTCGGATCTGCTGTAGTGGCAGCAGCGATCTTAGTGATCGGGATAGACGAGGTGTTGGTTGCGAGGATGGCATGCTTGGGTGCAATTTGAGCGAGCTTGGAGAAGATGGAGGTCTTAAGGTCGGGGATCTCGGGGACGGCCTCGATCACAAAGTCCACGGACGAAAGGTCGTCCATGTTCAGACTGGGAGTGATGCGCGCACGAACGGCATCGGCAGCCTCCCGAGTAAGGCGCTCTTTGGAAACATCCTTCTGAAGGAGCTTATCTGAAGCGGAACAGGTTGGCTGTTAATTGGGATATCCATGAAAATTACAGGAGTGTAGCGGACAATTGAATGGTATCCAGCATACCGGCAAATGTGAGACCCTTGTCCAAAGACGCCTGGGAATTATCGATCAGAGTAACAGGAACCTGGGCCTTTGAAGCGGCAACAAGAGCAATACCCAGACCCTGCAGACTACTTAGAAATTTGACCTGACGAAAAGTTACAGTATAAAAGCATGCTCACCATTTGACCAGCCCCAATCACACCCAGGGACTTAACCTCGGCAGCATAGGCGGCGGTGGAAGTGCTAAAGGAACGAGAGGTAATTGACGAGCCTACGCGGGCCACACCCCGGACAGATGCTGAGAACATGGTTGGAGACGATGGTAATTGCCTCCTAGAGAACCAAAAAAGAAATTGAATGCAGACAACGAAAGAAAAGTAGAAACGAAACAGCCGAAGATCTATCGGACATTGGCTTGTGTTCCCCATATACACCCGACTCATGTGATCCGACGTCATCGGCTATCTTCGGGCGTCGGGTAAATACTTTCTCCGACAAGCCGAGGCTGGTCATTCTAATAAACGCGAGACGCGTGAGATAACGCGTTATCATTGGCTGCTGCGATGAGCGCGAAATAAAGGTGGGCTTTTCATCGCTATTATCAATGTTTAGGGTGATGCTATCGGTCTGCTAGACACCAGCGTCGGGAGACGACCGGAGTTGAACCGACGACTATGGATGAAGAAGGTGCGCCGTTGAGCGAGAGTGTGCAGATCGTAGACCCTGATGTCCGCGCTCATGTTTACAGCCTTGTTACTGCTGTAAGTAGAGCAACACCATCCTTCATAACTAAGAAATTGTGCTAATATCTGCAGCTCGGAGGCTTCAATGGCGAGAATGCGGACCGCTACGTCTTGGGTGATGATGCACTGGCCTGTCTACGAGATATCAAGCGTTGGCTGAAACTATACGATGAAAAGAACAATCGCATGGATGTTGCACGATGTCTGGGGGAAGCGAATCTCGTCAACGGCGACCTGTTGCCGATCTTGACCCTCTGGTCGACAAGTGGTCAAAAGAGCAAACACATGTCGAGGATTGCGTTGGCGTGCTGTAAGTGAGCTGGATGAGTACGGAAAGGAGCTCAATGATCCGTGGATCTGACAAAGGACAGTGGAATTGTTGGTGCCTCTGACATGGCCATTGGAGGTACACAGTGAAATGACAGTCAACCATCATCGACACACACCGTATTTGCAACAAGCCCAGGTTCTCTATAAACGTGGTATTCTCAGTTATGCTAGCGACAGCATCCTCCGAACCATCATCCGAATCGGTCTCCCCAGCATGGCAGTCCCTCGATCCGAACGAACGACTCGGGATGAAGGCATCCTGAAGCTCATGCTCTACTTCCTTCGAAATATCGCGGTGATTTCGCCGAATACGCGCCTTGCGGCGGAGGGTGATGAAGAGGAAACGTCAAGATCGGCGACCATCAATTCTTTTCAAAATCAAGATGCTTTCGCTCTTCTCCTAACCATGTGCTCCAATGTGGGAGAAGATTTCAGCCTTCAAGATGTGGTCCTCCTCGAAATATTATTTCACATTGTCAAAGGAGTCAACGTGGAGAAACTCTTCATGAACGACGCCCAACGAAAGGCAAAGCGTACAGACGAGCTTGGTGAACTTTTACAGAAGGAGTCCTCTCTGCGGCGGGAATATGCAAAGAACGCACCAACTCGGCATGGTAGGTTTGGGACAATGATTTGGGTCAAACGCGATGACGCCAAGGTCTCCACGGTGTCGGGACAAGATGTGCTCAAAGATAGCCAGACAACTCTTCACAAGATGGATCAGAGCAAAAAGTGGAACAAGCCTCAGATACGTCGAAGACAAGCCGAGGTGACGGCAAACAATGACTTTAACACGCCCGTCAATCTCAACTCGACCGCGACAAAAAACCTACGAATGTTCGTAGAAGAGTTTTTGGATTCAGGCTTCAATCCGCTTTTCACGCACGTTCGAAAAGCCATTGAACGTGAAGCTGATCGAGTCATGGATATCAATACACGTCAATTCTTTTATACCGTTGCCTGGTTTCTTGAAGCCGAGCGTGTACGGCGAGCACATCAACGCGAAAAACGGCATCTGGGTGACAAGTCGTTGGAGGAGATAGAACCCGACAGCTTTGCACTTGTTGCCAGTGTCCTCAACCAGGAAACATTCGTTTTCCTGAACCGCTCAATGCAGTACAGCTATGACAACAAAGACGTGGAAGACCTCACTGCAGAAATGCGCTGTTTCACGCAGATTCTGTTGACTGTACAAGAGATGGCTCAATCACCGCTTGAAGAAGACCAAGAGATCGCCGACAACATCCAGAACCGCATTTTCTATGAAGAGACTACCCATGACCGCATCATCGCCATCGTTCGCGGGTACAAAGACCAAGGATTTGGCTACTTGGATGCATGCACAGAGCTTGCTCATGTTTTTTTAAAGATGCTGGAGCATTACTCCAAAGAGAACGTGGATATGCAGATCCGATCCCGCCGCCGAGCAAAGCGCAAAGCCAAACAAGCAAAACAGGCCGATATTGAAGGTGATGACGAGGAGCACGCATCTGAAGACGAAGACGTGATGGACGCCGAAAGAATTGCGAAGGAGCGCAAATTCGATTTCAAGCGCTTTGCCGCCAAGTTCTGCAACCAGAGTTGTGTTGACACGTTTATCGCTTTTACCAAGTACTATAAAGAGCTGACCGTGGACCAATTGAAACGAGCCCATCGTTACTTTTACAGGATAGCTTTCAAGCAAGAGATGAGCGTTCTGCTTTTCCGCCTTGATATCATCAACCTGTTCTATCGCATGATAAAAGGTCCGGGTGCCTTGGATTCAAACAAGCCGATCTTCAAGGAATGGGAGGAACTGGTCCGGCAGATTATTCGGCGCATGACCAAAAAAATTGATCAACGCCCGGCTTTGATCACAGAGCTCCTGTTCAGTAAGATCAACTCGACCGTCTTCTACCTGGAATATGGGCATGAGAAACAGACAATATCCGCCTCTAAAAGACCCCCGGCTGAGCTCGAAGTTGACCCGAGAGAAGCCAAGACAACCGACGAGAAAATAAAGATTGTTGTGCATGTCATGGTCAGAGATGAGCACACGGACCTGCTCAAATGGGTCATTGATGTCTTAAATTCGGCAGCCGATGAGAGAGAGGCCTGGGAAAGTCAGGAACAGCACTCAGAAGGACAAAAAGCTCCCAACCCAATGATTCGTACGTCTTCTGATTTCCTTCTGGCTGGTCGTACGGTGACTAACATGAAACAGCTGTCAAACCCAACAACGAGTCATGCCAGAAGGCCATGTTCTCCAATGCCAAACTCCGTCTCCTTATGACTTTGGTTCGCTTCGAACGTCTAGGCATGGAGGATGTTCCTGGAGCCTCCTGGGTCGTTCCTTCATCACTCAACTCTCAAGCTCTTCGGCACACGAGATCCATCATTGAACAGTGCTTGACTGAGCCTGTCACAGAGAACTCTGACCGGGACTTGAGCCAGTTGATAAGGAGAAAATCAGGAAACAATAACAGACGAGACAGAGATGAACAAACGGCCGACGTCGATTTTGGGTCCGATTCTGAGGGCGACGACAACGTCCCAGACGGGCCGCTATTCCCACCCAACCCACGATCAAGGGCTAACGCTCTCGAGCAATTGAAGAAACAACGCAAAAAGCGACGCAAGCAAGTTGGAGAAGAAGAAGAAGAACCCGACGAAGAAGACTTGGAGGAACGACGTCGAGCACGCCTGGAAAATGCTTTAGCTCGACAAGCGAAGATAAAGAGCGATCTGTATATCCACGCCAGTGATGAGGAAACAGATGAAGAAGCAGACCAGGAGTTCTTTCGACTTGAGGAGCAAAGGCGAAAGGAGCAGGCAGAAAGAATCAGGAAAGCTCTGCTTCACGGGGTCGTCGAAGAGGTTAGTGAGAACTCGTGGAAGAAAGGCAGTAGGCGCAAGCGGCCAAGCGATCAGCACGCTGCCTCGACCACAGATAGTCAGAGCAAGCGACAGCGACGCCAGCAACGGACTGAAGGGCTCGATGACGATGACGATCTTGTCATGACCGGTACGGACGCCCGGTCGCCAGACTCTCTCGGACAAGGCTCACCTTCTCTCCAAGGTGGTGACGACGTCAAAGACACACCTGTTACCTCCGAAGAAAATGAACTCGAATTCGACGATGATTTAGCTTTCAGCCGGAATCGTAATGGAGACAAAGTCCTGAGTGCGGAGAACCACGACAGCGATACCGAGCCCCCTGCACCTGATACTATAGACGAAGATGATGAAGCAGCACCTGTCGCTGCACCGCCTCGGCGAAGAATGCGGGCTGGGTTTGTCATCGAAAGCGATTCAGAGTGAGATGTATACCTATCATGTTGTAATGATTATTCCATGCGGTGTTCGGGTTGGGCCTTGATGGGCATGGGAATGAGTGTACATTTTCGCATATATACCGAATCACGAAAGCATACATATGTAGATGCTCTGCATCCGCTGAGTGACCAGGCTCCAGATCCTCATATTAAAACTTCCAATCGAGTGGGTCTGACAATCGACAGCAATCGACAAGGCACCATGTCTCATCTCCCATTGTGTCCGCCCGTATCTCGAACTGCGGCACATCCAAGCCCTAAGGTATTCTACAACGACTAAATATTTCGACACAATCAGAGCTCCATATAACCCAAATAAGCAGCTTCACATCAAATGATCGGCGTTTGGCCAATGACATCTATCTTCTGATAGCAACGAGTAGCATTAGGAGACCGCAACACGAGCGTTGTCGCGATGAGTCACAGATCCATGGACGAAGCGGGTAAGAGTCCTTAAATCCCAATGCGCTTCTCCAACCCTGTCTGTATCATCAAAGACGCAAATCAAGACTCCTCCAGCAGCTTGAATTTTTACCTAATTTCAAACAAACCAATTGCCACTCTATCATGACTGAACAAGTCCGATTTGTCACTTTGGACGTCTTCACGGCGCAGCCGTATGCCGGCAATCCACTTGCCGTGGTGTTCCTCCCGGACTCGAACGAGCCGGCTCTGACACAGCAGCAGAAGCAGTCAATTGCACGCGAGTTCAACTTGTCAGAGACCATCTTTGTCCATGCTGATAAGGGAGAGAAACGCACTATCGACATCTTCACCCCGGACAGCGAACTCCCATTCGCAGGCCATCCCACCATAGGAGCTGCCTGCTGGTTTCTATATCTTTCCCCGGACGAAGGAGACAAGGGAGCCGTCAAGATCCTGACCACCAAGTCGGGGGATATCCCCATATCGCTGCAATTGGGACAGCCGTCGCCTGCAGTAACTGCTAGAATCGCACATAATACGCGGCTGCACCAGTCCAGATTTCCGCTCCAGCAACTGCTCCGATTGCACCCTTTCTTGTCTGGCTTTTTCGGTATAACCGGTACCGTGGAGCCAGCTTTCCCCATCTTCTCTATCGTCAATGGGATGAGCCAGGTCCATGTCGAGCTGCCCTCCCTTGAGGCTCTCGCTGCCGTCACCACGGCCTCGGGAGGTGAGGTTATCTCTGCGGGCTCTGGCTATCTGGATGAAGGTTGGGATGCAGGTCTCTGTGTGACGTACTTCTACGTACGCAATGTCAAGGACGCACAGACTGGTAAAAATACTATTCGGACCAGGGCGATTCTCGGAAACCTAGAAGATCCAGCAACAGGAAGTGCGGCCAGCGGTCTGGCTGCTTATCTGTCTTTGATTGAGGGAAAACCTGGTCAGCATAATTACAACATTGTGCAAGGAGTGGAGATTGGCAGGCGCAGTGAGATTGGGGTAGAGGTTGTGGTCAACCAGGATAACAAGATCGACACTGTTGAGCTTCAGGGAGGTGCTGTCAAGGTGTCCGAAGGAAGCATTCGACTGCCTCCGAAATGAGTCAATGCCTGATTAGGCCCGAACGGGTTCACTCCTGGGCTGCAAAAGGACGAGATGAAAATGCATCGTTTGTCCGAGCTGCGACGAGTTCTTCAAGTATTCTGCGTGATGCTCCTGATAGTGAGAGCTAGTGAATGAGAATGAGCCCACGTGAAGGGCATACTACTATCAAACTTGTGTCAGGTAGACTCGAGGCAATTCACTACATCTGCTCTCTCAAAACGGATATCTCCGGTAACTATATACTGTCATCCTCAAGGTAAACAATGATAAATACTAATTTTCAGCCTGTTACTTACTCTTTATCGATCTCACCATCTACATCTCTCTCCACAGCACATATTAGCATCTTCAAACCATATTATCTACCCTCTCCAAATATTCTTCTAAGCACAATTTATCTAACCCATTCTTCTAATCTTGACTGCATCTTGCATCGAATCCTATCATGACGGAGAAGCGAAGCCGTAGGGCTTCTCTGTTGGGATCCCTTCAAGTCCTTCGAAGCAAGACTCGCGGTGGAAAGCACGCTTATCAACCACTGGGCAGCGAGAGAGACAGCAGTCCAAAGAAGAATGGCAAAGCCGGACGCGTCTTCTCGTTTGGCTCATCTATTCCTATCAAGAACGAAAGCTCAATCCTGACCTCGCTTAGAGTAAAGGGTCGCAACTCTCAGATACACGAAGCATGGGATTCTCAACGTCAAGTCTCAATGCCTCTACCTACCAAGTCCTCCTCATTTGGCTCTGAAGATTCGCACGAAACAACAGTCAGCAATGGGATATCGTACAAAAAGATCAAGATATCGATTCGCCGTTTGACAGCAAGAGCTAGTCCGTTTTCCTCTCCACCAAACAGTCAGACGTCTTCCAGATCCACCAGTTTCACCGGCTCAACTTTGACCTCATCGTCCGGACACAAGTACTCGAAGATTCCGGTTCTTACAGAACCTCCCGTCAATGGTATTTACTCTCGGGAAGCGTTTCAAAAGGAAGGAAAACGGAGCGTGCTGTCATCACTGAGCAGGCGTTATATCAATCTCAGACGGGACGTGAGCAAGGATGAAAACAAGTCCATCTCAAAGTTGGGAAAGAAAGAAACCAAAGAGGAAGAGATTGATATTGCTACTCCTCCTCGGCTGGTCAAAATAGCTCAAACTGTTCGATATGTCCGACCTACAGAACCTGTTCGACTTTACCGAATCGGTAGACCTGTCCAGGCAATGCAAGATACCCAACCTACTCAATCTATTCAGTCTGCTGTGCCTGTTGAACTTGCCGAACCTGTTGAGAACGCCCAGCCGACTGCTGAAACTACTTCAGTCTGGCAGAAAAGTCTGGAACAGAAACCCAAGCAAACCGAGATGGTCGAGCAGCGCTCTGAGATTATCTTGAACTCATCGTCGAAGAAACCTCGTTCATCAATCCCACGAACTACTTCCTCTTCAGCTTCACAGGTTGCTTTGACCCGATTGGCTCCTCCACGCAGTTCGATACCTGTTCCTGCTAAGGTCAGATCTCCTGCAAAGCCGTGCGCTCCTGCCCTGCAAGATGGAAGAAAGGCGTCGGATGAGCAAGGAATAACCAAGAATACAAGAGGAAGCCCCATCCCTGTTCCAAACAATGCCACTGGCCTGAATGTTAAGAAAGTACGATTCAGCGACCCTCTTCCACCAAGACAGCAGACCTTCGCTCAGCGTCAGTGGTCCGACAACCAGCCCGCCTTCATATACAAGGCAACGAATCGCATCCTAAGAAGCACGAGCGATATGCAGCCCAAGAAACTGCGGATGAGCAGAGGATTCGCCAACCTGAAGGCCCTTCAGATTGAAGAAGAGGTCATTTCACAGCTAGCATCCGATGACGACCAAGAAGAGCAGAGCGTTCCCAACTCAAGCCAACAGTCCGAGCAAACGGCAATTGTGCCAACGACCAGAAACAAAGATCGCACTCAGAGAATGGTACTGCCCAGTGACGATAATCACACCAGCAGAATCCCACGCAACAAGCAGAGAACGCTAACCACGACTACTCCTGCTGGCTTCCAGGTATCCGAAGCACAGCCCCGTCAGTATTGGCTTGGACGTTTCATGACCCTCACCAACGCGTTCCACTACGAAGATTCTTTCAATGAACCCGATATCGCCACTGGATTTGGCATGCTGTCGAGCTACTCCCGGCCTTTGGGTCAGCCCGATGCGGACCTTGCGAACTATCGTGTCAAGCGCGCTTTCATGGTTCTTGAGAATGTTTGCGTGACGGAGGAGGCGTCTGCTAGTCTGAGAGAGTTTAGAGACGAGTACATTGCTATTCATGGAGATCGTTGGATGTTGTGATGAGACTGTTTCATGTGAATGATCATGGCAGATGAAAGATCGTCTGTGCGTATTCCCCATGTGGCGTTTCATTGGGTTATGGGTACTGGGTCACATCAATGTGCGGGACCGGGGAGATTGGGACATGAAGGCGTCGGGATACACTAGACATATGCCGGTCGGTTGGGAAAGGCAATCGGAGGAGTTATTGGTTGGAAGTGCTGACTGCAAATTGCTGTACTTAGGATGACATCGGAGTTTGATATGTACATGTTTTTCTAACAATCATTGCAAGCAGCCTGTCCGATGCGTAGAATTTAGTAGGATCCCGATTGAGTAGCCAGTCCATAACCTCAGAGGTCAAAGCCCTTTTTATATCTGCCATAGCGTCCCAAACGCCATACCATGCTTGCCCAGGATTAAATCATAGAAACATTTTTAGTCCGTGGGAAATATCGGCTAGGACGATTCTAGGTCTGCAACGACGTTACTTCCTTCTGCTCTTCAAGAAAGCAGCAACCTGATGATGTCGAGTGACAAAGAACATCCGCTTGCGATCTGATTTCCAGACCAGAACGCCGATCTCCTCGGCATATCGACAGGGGGCCTCGTATTCCGCCAGAGTGTTGAAGTCCCTGAACAAAAAGCCATGTGTCGCTTTGACGCGATCTCTCTCGAGCTGCCAAAGACGAATCTGATCCACGACTGTAGGCGGTAGGACGGACACCGGCATTCCGGTTTGATTAGAAGTAGATCTGGACACATTGTGCTTGCGCATTTGAGGGTGCGCGTGTGTCGATAGGTAAGAGATAATTTGATCGGCGGTAATGCCCATCTCGACAGCACGACGGACGGACTGGCGGGTGATTTTACCCGTGATCAGATTCGGGAAGCGATATTTCAACGTGGTGAAAAGTGCAATGAGGGAGATCTGGAGGGGTGAGGAGGTATATGCGTAGAGTCGGTAATTTGTTTCGATGATGATGAATCCGGAACCGGCCTTGCTCGAGGATGTGCCCGTAGGTCCGGAAAGGGAGCCAGCAAGAGGATTGCTTAGAGTGCTGGAGTCGGAGGTCAAGGTGGTTGCGAGGCGCGTCGGGTAGAAATGAGTGGCATCCGGGGTTTCTTGGTAGACGATACCAAAGTCGGCCAAATCGGTCAGAGTGCGCAATTGGTTAGACGTCAACTGTTTCTTCTCATATGATTTTCCCAGTTCCAGACTGCTCAGGAAGAACACAAAAGAAAGCACCTCGACGCCGTCCATACCGATGGCCGCTGCGCTCTCAACATAGAGAACTAGGATATGCCATACTTGAGTGCCGACGTCCTGTAGAACGAAAGCGAATCCGTCCTGAGTAATTTCCACTCGACGATCCCTGATCTCGACGAGGTGGCCAGCCTGCAAGAGCTCTTTCACGCCTTTGCTCAAACTGACGTCGCGTTGCATGCCCAGTCCACTTGTCCCCACCATGTATCCCAGAACTCCTTCCCACTGCCGTCTGGCATACTCGTCCAGATCCGCAATGGAGACAGCTTCTTCATCAGATATCTGCGACAGCACACCAAACGATTGAGTTTGCTCAGCACCGGTGAGAGCCTGCCGAAGGGAGGATGCAAAAGGATCGGTGACGGTGTATGCTTTTACGTTATCCGACGTTGTAGTGCTGGTCATAATGTGCAACCTGCCCAAAATTGAAAGCGCATTATCTCGCTCTCTTTGGGGAGTCAGCGACTATATTTTCTGAACCGTTCCACTCTGAGAAAGTGGTGATACTCACCTCAAACTGTCTGGTCTGACCCATGCTTCCAAATCCGCTGCTGGAAGTGGGTCCTTGAGGTAGAGAAGCGCCATCACAAAACATTTTGCTGTGATTTATCAGTCCAAAAAAGGGCTCTCTGTGCGATGACGAGGCTGGCACGTACCCAGGTCAGGCAGCATGCGCCTGAAAATGGCGAGAGCAGTGGAGGGCTGCTGGTAGAGCTTGTTGAAGACAGTCCCAGGCAAGCTCTCCAGGTAATCGAAAGGACGGGGTGGTGCCGCAGCCATCTTGCCTGCAGGACCGAAAATAGTTCGTTATCTCTGCAGCATCATCAAGCACTGTCACTAAGAAACCTCAACGATGAAGGGGGAGGATAACTGGGTAGTCTTGAATTCTGTGTCTGATTGGAGAAGGTGCAGCAGATATTGTCCGGTGACCATAGCGGCCACAAAGCGCAGTCGGCGATGATCTCACTGTTTAGCTTCCCATATCTTAGCGCCAATATGTAGAGAGGTAATGCTTCATAGTCCATTCCTTACCATTTCCTAATCCTCACTTCTTCAATTTCGCGTTTCGCACTGAGTAAATATGACAGCTTTGCGATTTGTCAGATCTGTAAGTATCAGATCCTTTGAATTCAAATGAGACTTCCATAATAACCGTTTTGTACAGGTCTGGGAGTCCTTCCGGGCTACCTCAGGGTTAGAGCCTCGGTAAGTACGGACAGAGGGCTCATATAGACACTCGAACAAGATCGTCCCTGACAATATCTCTTGAGGTCACAGCCTGCTTGACAATGTAAGCCTAGCTTCTGCAATCCATCGAAAATTGCGATTGCTGCTCCTCCGATCCCACTGGCGATTAGCATCGGACAAGCGTATCGGGATATACTAATAACCGCCTCAGCTACGTGTAACTGCTGCACGACCCGGAACTGTCAACTTTGAGCTTGATATCCAGAAAGAGCACACGGTAAATTCTCCCGCTTGCGTCTTGCTCTTCGCCATACATTAACAACGTCACTAGAATAGACTCAGCATCCTTCATGGAGGGACAATCGCCAGTATGGGTACTGTATACCTATGAGACCCGTCAGCCTTTTTACCACCTCGTTGACCATTGAGTCTAGTGGACCTTGGAGGCTCCCTAGCTGTGGCTTCTCGAGGCTTGTTCGCGACTGGCGTCTCGACAGATCTTAATGGTATGCCAAACCGGATGTACCCAATAAATCCAAGCTTGATCTTATCCTGATACGAGCTTCTATCACAAGTGACATACCTGAGTTCCGGAGGCAAAGTTGGAGACAAGATCCAAGCGGTTCGTTTTTCGAGCTTTACCTAGGGCCAAGATCTTTACAAGATTACTGACTTGCATGCAGGAAGTCACTTGTGATAAGTGTAGGTCTCCTATCAATGATCAGTGGACGAGTCCTCCAAGGCCTATGTTAACCCAGACCCCTGGGAATTCTGGTCCATCGATATGCCTAACCAAGTCGACAGTCGGGAAAACCCTAGCATACACGAACATCAAGTTCATGAACTCCAAGGGTGAGGTCTTCGCAAGAGGCAGTCATACAAAGTACGTGTTCGCGCTCCACCGATAAGACCGTTCGATTAGCTGACAGCTTTGATCGGCAGATACATTGCTCTCGCCTGGAAAGACCCCAAAAACATTGTTGAGGAACTCGAAGGACGCAAGGAATCGTAGAAAAAGTGTCCTATTTTGCCGGCTTAGACTCTTGGAGTTGATGGATCCTCCCATCACGGCTGGGCCACTCAATTCAGGAGGCATATATATACGTATGGTCCCCATTTAGAGAATCTGAGAGGTCTCTATAGATCGAAGTGACTCAGGAACGCCGTTGTACATATGAAGAATGAACATCTTGTACATCTCTCATAGCCCCTAACTTATTGACCACACTTCGGAATTTACTTCATTCTAGGGGGGCCGGGGAAGCGGCAGGCACACCGTGGCGTAAGGCACATCACACTGGTCAAGTCGAAAGCACCACGAATATATGGCTTATTATATCAAATCAGGTGCCGAATATACATAAGAACTTTGAACGCAACCCTACAGGTTGGCTACACCATTGGGAGGAACGATGATGTCAAGCTGTTGGCATCAATTAAATCCTGCACGGCTATTCAAGTCTGCTCATGCAATGGGTCCTCCTCGGGCTCATCGCCCGCTCCAAGCATAACTTCATCCTCGTCCAACAGCTCGTTTTCCCCGTCAGGCATTGCATCGTCTACTATGATGTCCTGATCACCCATGGCCTTAACCTTGGCCTGAGACATCTCAAACACATATTGCCCGAGATGTTCGACTCCCTCCATAGGCGTACCCTGAACCTCGTCGTCCAGCGATCTTGTGGTTGGGAACATTTCGCCCGTGGTTAACATGAGTTTGTCAGGGCGCTGTAGGAGAAGGTCAAAGGCCGGCTTGAGTTCAAAGCATGACTCGAACACCTCGCGACGACCGAGGATATAGAGGCCTAGACGGGAACGGGAAAGAGCAACCGTAAGGCGGCGAACGTCTCGGAGATAGCCAACTGTGCGAGTTCGCGTGAGGGAAAGAATAACGTCTGCGCAGGACCCAGGTCAGCATAATCCATCGCTCGAGACGGTTCAACTTACAGTCGTTCTGTTCACCCTGATACTTATCCACAGTTGTCACGATTTTGGGCATGCCAAACAGTGCATTTTTACCACACCGATGGGCAAGAACGTCTTTAATCAGCGCGGTTTGGCCTGCGTAGGTAGCAAGAATTGATATCTTCGATGCCGGGTACCCGAGGAGTCGCATGTACTGATAAATGGCGACAGCGTACTCGGCTTCTCCCAGGTTCTGGATGAAGTGAGGGGTCGGCTCCCTTTCTCCGCTCCCTTGATAATCTGGGACGTTGATGAACTGATAGTCGTACTGGAAGCCAGCATTCGCCTGTTTGTATTCTTGAGACGTGTGAACAATGGGCAGATCTCCAAGCTCCTTATAACGCCACCGGAAGAGTTCTGCCAAGCTAGGCCTTGCCCGGCCCTGCTGATCAAGATTAATCGCAGGGACACCTAGTCTTACCAAGCGTAGGAAAAGACTCTGCTCGAAATGGGCGTACTGGCGGAAAGCAAGGTTCTGAATGATCGGAGAGTTCTGAAGGTGATCGCCGCAAAGTACAACGCGTTTCAAAGGGAGCTCGCCGTTCTTCATGTGCTGTAGGGCGGATGGAATAAAACTTTCAATCTCAGTAATCTGCGCCGCCTCTTCCATCACGACGTTGTCATAATGGAAGCCAAGGTCGGCGATTTCTTGTCGACGCATTGCCGCATGCGTAGATGTCATAGCAATTATTCTCGCTTCTTTCACAAGGAGATAGTTTGCCTTGTCACGCGATTGCCTCAAAATCTCAAATGGGCGAATATCCTCTAGCTCAGAGAAGATCTTGTCGATATGCCGTTGACAGCCTTCCGCCACATCCAGCAATGTCTCCTTCGAAGCGGCCGGATCGAACACAGGCTGAGGGGCAGTTGAGAAGTAGGCATGGAATGGGAAAGACGCAATGATATCATCGGTGGTTGTACTTTCGGCACGAGCATGGTCGAAGAATTTCGCCCAGGCTGGCTGGATGTAGACTGTATTGAAATATCCAGCCGTCTCACACGAATTGCCGTGTGCGCCTTCTGCACCAATCGACGCCGCTAAGCGTGTCACTTCAGCGAGGAAGTAGTTGCGGTTTTCAAGAAATGACTCGACACGGCCATATTTGCTGTAACTAGTTTCGGTTTCGAGTTCCTCTTCACCATGGCCGAGTCGAAGGAGATGACGTTCATCGATGTCTAGGGCCACAATCTTCTGGAATAACTGATTAAGAGCCTGGTTACTGTGCGCGATCAGAAGGGTACGCTCCTTCGGGAAGTCATGGTAAATATTATTGATGATTTGTGTTGCAACATCCGTTTTACCAGTTCCAGGAGGGCCAACAATCACAGTCAGTCCGGGCTGCGTGCCGGATGCGATAGCTTCGACCTGAGCTGGGGTGAAACGAATGGCGTTGAGCTTGGGAGCATCGACAGGATAGGGACCTGGGTTTGGCTGTTTATATGTCGACACGCGCATCACTCGTGCACTTGTTCCTTCCTTTTCAACCGGATCTCTCCGCCGCTTCTTCGACGATGTTGTTGAAGGCGCTTTGGAAGAACTTTCAACGTATTCAATTACGTATGGGGGCCCGAAACTCGACGCCTCATTACCCGAAGGCTCAATGGTGCACCCTGGGAAACTCTCAACTAGGTGCTGCCAGTCCAAGAAAGTGTCTCGGAAATCGACCGACCTCAGTCGGTTGGGCAATTCAGTATACCTGGCACCTGCAGGGTCTCCGTATCCTAGAAAGATATCCTGAATCCAAGAAGGAAGGGTAACATCTGAGACAATGAGTCTCTGCATGTTCTCAAGTATCGACCTGAAATTGTTCTCCCGCCCTTTCCGTCTTGCAATCACGTTTATGAAGGGATAAATGTCCTGCTTTCCTTGGGAGGTGCGATCCTTATCAGCCTTGAAAGCGGACGGATCCAGATTGAGCAGCAATCTCCGGAGGCGAGGTCGAGATTGATATCCATTCGTGTGGCCCGCAACTGGTTCACGAAGTGGGCGACCCTGTTCATCGAGAACCTGAACCACTGTTGCAGTCCTAAGGTGCATCAGACTCGGAGTCTCTGCTGAGCTGTCCCTGAAAACGGAATTGTTCGCAGTACCCGGTTGGACAGCTAGAAGGAAGACGACGTCATCTGGACGAAGTGAGTCCCATTCCTTCCGAATGTAATCTGCTAACCTGCCAACTTCAATTGCAATCTCAGCTCTCACAAAAGCTGGGTCTGACGAGCCTACTTTAGGAGGTGCAACCTCGATTATGGCTGGTTTGGAGATGGGAATGGCCATGCGAGAGAAACCATCGAAGGTCAGCGTTTTGCCATCGCGGCTTGATCGAGGCTGCATCCGCTTGATAATCGCTTCCATATCCTTTCGGATCTGGAAGAAAGCTTCGAAACGATACAGCAGGAACGACCGCCAAAGAAAGTCGCCAAGGCTCAGATATTGAAGATTCAGTTTCGGAATCGCAAGCGGTCGAGATCCGTCATAGGTTTCGTTTCGCAAGAATGAAGGGTCATAGAGATCTTTCTCTGTGGGCACAATGCTGAGTCGGGATGCGGTCTCTTGAAACGGTACCTTGCGCTCGTAGAACGACAAAAGTATCTCGAGATAGAGATGTCGAGTTGGTATGACCCCGGATTGTTTGGGATAATCTGTCCGGAAACCCAGGTGCATACAGAGACTTTCAAGCTCGGAATCGTTTAGGGCACTCAGTTGCCCTTCCAGTTCTGAGCGTTGCTCAATTGAGCCGTAGTTTGACAGAGCAAGGATCATCAACTTATCCTTGAAGTGCTTCATCGCGGTTCGCTGCAAATGTGCCAGCTCTTGGGAATGGCTCTCATAGATTGCCTGGGGGTCAAGAGGCTCGCCGGTGTAATCGTCGATTGCGAATCCAGAAAAATGTTTAAGAAGCTCAAAGAGGTCGCGGAAGAGAGCATTTTCAGGAGAACGGTACATTTGGGAAAGCCGTATAACCGGGAGTAAGTTGAGATCCTTCAATAACGTATTGACGTAACGCCGTGTCGGGAGCTGACTCTCCAAGTCCACCAGATATTCCAGAAACCTCTCACAATAGCGTAAATTATCGGACAATTCCTGCTCGGACCCATTCAATCGCCGCAAGAAATCCAGAAGCATAGTAAAGAGCCACGATCGTTCGAATCGCATCTTCGCCTTTGCCGTCTCATCTCCAGCTTCGTACCGCTTCCCAGCTGCTCTCCAGGCTTTCTTTAAGGATGGTACCTTAGCAAGGATCCGATCCCTAATTTCTTCGCTCGAGAGATTGTGCCAGATGGAAATCGAAACGAGAGGTGCGCACTCCTTTCGGATGAGTACGTTCTCCAGAGATTGAAAAGCACTGATAATGAAGGACAATATCGATTGGCGGGAGAAGGTAGACAAAGAATTGTCGACGCTCATAGAGAGGATCCGATGGAAAAGGTTGGAGAAGTCGTCGGGCCGGTCAGAGAAGGTCTCTATGGTCCATTAGCTTCTCATAGATATCATCGGGCTGAAACTACAAGAACGCACCCCATATTGGCAAATGATCTCGCTGCTTAATGCTAACAATCAGCGCAATTAATAGCACATGGTGATTGGACGCATCTTCCGAATATGTCGGCCACAGATATCTATAGGCAATTAGTTTCAAGGGACGTAAAATCGTCAGTCACAGTCGCGGTGCGCACTTCTCCAGGATATTCAAATTCTCCAGCGTCAAGAGCGAACGAAGGCTGAAGTTTTCAGCTTCTAAGGGCTCCCATAATTCCTTTCTAATAACATCCTGCTTGGCTTTGCGGACCTTAGAGGTCCCAAGCCAGTGGGTTTTGGCCAGCTGGACCCATGAGCTATCCTCACGGAAGTCCTCCACCGTTGGCCGGGAATCGAGGCCGTGCGCCATAGCCTGACGTGTTTGTTGGCCCATTCCTCGATGTTGAGGGCTGATTCAAAAGTACTGCAGGCGCGGGTCCAATTTATTTGCGCAAGTGGTCCGTCGCTGGCGGAAAGGGAAGCTGTTGGCGCGCGGTTAAGCCAAGACGACTTCTTGGCGGCTAGAGACTGCCCGCAGAGCCGCCATCTATCATCCGAAGCTCGCGCCAACCTTACAACCATCCTTTATCCTTTTTCTGTCAAGCTTGCTCTTGGTGGCTCTGTGAGGATGTCAGTTGCTGAGCATGATGCGATGCATGTATACAGAAAACTGGTCGATGATCTCCTGACCCGTGCAGAACAAATCAAAAAAGATGCGCAAATAGAACCCCCTTTAACAGAAGCTCATTTGGGCGAGTCGATATGGGCGATCCAGGGGAAAGAAGAGCGATTGGTGGAACAGCTGAGCCAGCAGACACGGTTTGCGGCAGTTGAACTCGCGTTCAGGGAGAAGTTCTACAGTCTCCTGGTATGACTCTCATTCAGAGGCTTAACTATTAAGTATGAGTGTGATGGAAAGCTAACATTGAGCTATCTGTAGGCGAACACGACAATTGACGAGCCCTCGTTCATTCGCATGTGGAATTTGCTTGACATAATCTCAATCTTTTCTGATAATGGTTGGCTCCGGCCGTCTAGTCTTGTGACCGAACAGCTAGCTGATCGTGCATAGAACAATGCGAGCCCGGTTTGATATTTTGGTTGATCGAGGAGTTGCTCGATAGCCAGACCATTGATGGTTGTCGCAAGGTCTTTGATTATTTGGAGTCCCGCCGAGAACGGAATACAAAGGTCGATATTTCCTTCTGTCATTACTACTCATGCAGTACATCCGCTGATACTGTTCCAGAAACACTTCAAGCAAAAGAGCTTGATTATCCTTAGATCCTGCAATGAGCTACTTCGGAGGCTGTCCCGGGCAGAGGACACGGTATTTTGTGGCCGTGTCTTCATATTTCTATTTCAGAGTTTCCCGCTTGGAGATAAAAGCGCTGTTAATCTCCGCGGCGAATATCACACCGAAAATGTTACCACCTTTGACGAGATTACCAAATTAGGAGCCAAGGAGAGTGATGATATGGATGTGGAAATGTCCGACGCAAAAGAAACATCAACAGCAACTGACGCCCAGGGACCTGATCATGATGGCCAACCACTGCCTTCAGCCAGCGCTTCTCAGACGCCTGTACAAGAACCAGCAAAAGTCCCCAAACTTCTTGTCTCGAAAACTGAAGACAAGGATACGGAGAAGGCAGTTGATATAGACGCTCTGTACCCTGTTTTTTGGGGGCTGCAGGCATACTTCTCTGTCCCGACAAAAGTGTTTGACTCTCAGCACTTCTCGTCCTTCAAGACTGGTTTGGAAAACACATTGATCGCATTCAAGAATATCAGAACAGACCTTGAGAATCAAAGCGCCAGTAAGACAGCCGAGGAAATACGGAAATCTACAAAGCGGAAACGGAGCGTGGATGGCCAAGAAATCGCGAGCAGTTTCAACCCTAAGTATTTGACAAGCAGGGACTTGTTTGACCTCGAAGTACGTTGCTAAAGGTCCCGGGTCGAGCCATTACATGCTAACGATCAGTTACAGGTCAACGACACAGCTTTCAGAAGACACGTTCTTGTACAGGCACTGATTCTCCTGGATTTTATGCTTTCTCTTACGCCGAAAGCGAAAGCAAAACTTGCTGATTTGACGAACAAATCAGTGCTTTACGGTTTTGTATTGAATGAAGAAGATGTAGGTTGCTTGACGGCCCCTCTGCTTTTCCACTTTATACTTCACCCCTTCCCCGCGTCTTACCCTCTCGCTTCGAACACAGTTTAACAGCTACAGGCCAAGTGGGCAACCAAGATGAGGAAAGCCATTGAGGAATATCTACAAGAAGGTACGGGTGGTAAATTCTATTATCGCATGGTCGACACGGTTCTATCGAGGGATAAGAACTGGGTCCGTTGGAAAGCCGAGGGCTGTCCGCTCATTGAAAGGCCTGCCGTCTCAGTCGCAGAGTATATCGGTGCTCGCGAGAACGCGACAAAAACATACGCAAATAAGCGCCTTCGTCCGTCGCCTATGGGCTCCCTGAATCTCAACTTTCTGGCCGAGGGAGAGTCAACATCAAGCATCGAGAAGCTGAAGGAACCGGAGAGGTTTGTACTCCATTGCCACTGGCTTTGATCCCGATATGGCTGACGTCTGTCAAGATATTCTGTTCCCTCCGCCGACTCGTTCATGATGGGCATCATGGATGATGAATTAGACATTGATACTGCGCATACGAAAGAAGACAAGGACAGGGCTATTCGGGCAAAAGCGAGTAAAACTTGGCGCATTCTACGTCTTTCCGCTAAAGGCAAACTCGCGGCCTTTGACAAAATTGATGACGGCAAGAATTTGAAGGCTCTGTTTGAAGCACCACAACCTCCTGAGAGCACCACTCCTCCTGCTCATGAACCGGCTTCCCAGGCTTCGGAGTCCGCAGCTAAGGCGTCTAACGATGCCGAACTCGAAACCGCCTCGTCGGGACAAGAAGAACAGCCAGTTGAAAAGGGTGCCACGACAATTTCCGAACAGACACAAGGCGATCTGAATGATAGCAATCAAGAAGCAGTTCCCGCGGCTCCCCAGGCGACCTGATGAAAGAAAGATAGGCGACTTTCAAGTATCCTGGCGCTGAGATGAAAGCATGCCCTTGCTTATTTAAGAGTCTGAACTTCGACGACTGTTTTGGGCTTGTTCTGCCTACGACTCCGTTGATCGACACTGCGCTTGAATGAGTTCTTTGCCCGCATCAACGTCACAATGCCACGTTGACCGTCTTTACAGAGTGCAGAAGATCTCAAGAGGATTATGGACCAAGCTGCTAGCAATCCTTAGGTTGGAAATGGTGCGGCGTCTAATGCAAGGTACGGTCTTCAAGACGAAGACAGCAAGGTTTCCATCAGCCGCCCCATTGGCCAATGGCCTATTTTGATCGCTGAAGAACTCGCCCCCTAAGTCAGGGGTCGCTGTCTGGCTGGGCTGTCGATATGCTGAAACAATGTCTTCTCTACAGAGTACGTTCTGAAGTTTGTTGTGTCTGCCAGACTGCAGCAGACGCTATCAAGGGGTGAGGGGCAAAACAGGAAGCAAGTGAGGAAAGCAAAACGCGGTAAATTCGAAAACCATGGGGAGAAATGACGATAACACCAATGCAATGACACTACTTGGGCATTCTCGGGACAGGCTACAAAAGCCCTGACAATTTCTTTCTTTTTTTTTTTTCTTTTTCTTTCTGCTTTTTCTCTATCCAAGTGTGGTTTACTCTAGTACTAGTCTAGAACGTTGGAAGCCAAAGAGGGCCAGTGCATCGGCTACCGGAAATTGAAGGCGTTCAGGCATCCACAAGGCCCACATCCATCCAGCCGGAGAATTCCTTGCGGTTTTAAGGTGTGGGAGCAAAAGCTGCAGGTGGATGCATCTGGAATCAATGGACACAAAGGCCAGCTACGGCCTACATCAACTTGGCAACGAGGTCATTTGCTGTGGCCGCCGAGAGGAATACTCCGGAGTAAGCTACGAACGTGGGCCCGATTCCCTAAGGGATCAGCAACTCTAATCAGTAAAAAATCATAACTGATTGATGAGGACAGTTCCTGCATTGGCAGTATTAACAGGTTCATTATTCACTCCTCTTTTTCGGTGTACGTAGCCAACGAATAATAATCAGTCGTGATAGTTATTCGGTATGATATAGCTGGCATCATTGTTTTCTTGCGTCCATCGTTCCTCTCCCTATTATTTTAGTATCAAGGTGGAATTGGCGAGAAGAGTACTTTTGAGTGTTATTCCTTTTGCGTTCATTCAAACTTTCTCTTTCGAGAGCCCCGTCTCAATAACGGCGCCTCCGCGGCTCCCTGTCAAGCCGTTGATGGCATTTGTGGAAATTACAGTGGTGTTTTTGGGATGCTATGTTTCAGACAGATGAAAAGCAGGCAGCCGCAACACCCCTTAGGTAGGTCCCATGATAGTTAACTATGATTTCAATATGATATGTACTTACAACGACTCCTGGGAGAAAGATATCCGCAATCAGGGGAAAAACGAAAAAGGAGTTTCTATTCGGCGGCAAGCATCCGTCCCCTGCTGGATATCTCATTATAGTGATTGTACCAGACCTCTTCAATACGTTGTAGTATCAGCCGAGTACTATTGACAAGAAGAATATTATTGTTGCTACAGCCAGACGCTTTACCAAGGATTCACCGTCAAATATCAGCAGTAACGAATAATACTAAGACTACGGAATATGCTGTGCATGACCAGCATCAACAACCCCAACAGCAGAATCCAAATCCGTATCCTAGGTGCATAGAAACTCGGCAGTACATCCGAGGCCAATGATCACTGTGATCTGAACTAATATTATTAGTTGATCCCTGGAAATATTATTATTACCTCCATCGGGACCGAGGCACTAGCTATGCAACTTAAGCGAATGGCAGAGGCCGTTGAACGATGTTTCATCGTGGCCCAACGACTCGCACGGACCAGCCAGGGCTAGCTAAATTACTTATGACAACTTGACAAGATGCATTGACTTTTGATATGATTCAATCAATTCATCAGCTTACCAAGTCTCCCAGTACTAAGTGGATACTCACTGAGAAACGAACGGTCTCATTTCGGAGAGGTGCTTAGCTTGCAAGAAATTCTGTTTCTTTTTTCTTGTTTTTGTTGTTTTTGAGAGCAGTACGGAGTATCTACACAAACAGATCCTCGATATCTAGAAACACTTGGCTGGGTAAGGTATGCATGGCTCCTGCTGTGGATGCATGATCACAGCATCTACTCCTTAATCTTACGGGCTTGCGTAATGTGAGCTTCAATCTCCACTGCGATGGATCTGTCTGCCTTTCCTGGGACAGATCATTTGATCTGGACAAGGCGAATAATGTAATCACAAGTGATGAGAAAATGAAGGGATT